TTTAAATATTAAAATTTATTAATTTATTTATATGTACGTGTGTTTGCTGTGTGAATTTATGTGCATTGCATGAATGCAGGAGCCTGTGGAGGCCAGAAACGGGCATCAGATATCCTGGAAGTGGAGTTACAGAGTTACATGAGGGTTCTGAGAATGAAGCCCGGCTCCTCGGGGACACAGATACTCTTAACTGCTGAGCTATCTGTCCAGCTCCTCATCATTATTTTTAAAGAATAATAAATCATTAGCTTTAACACACTCTACTGGCATGAAGTGCAAAATCCCAAAAATGATAATTTCTCAACCCTGAGATGCGGAGACGAGGCTGTAGAGTGCTTTCTCAAGTAACTAAAGAAGCTCCATTGTTCCCAACAATACAGTAATGTGCTCAGTTGTAAATGAAGCACTTTTGTTCAAATGTGATTGATTCTATCGGAAAAGTGGATTATGATAATATGTAGGTTGTAAAGCATGGAGGAAAATCTCAAAGCTGACCCAGCTCTGGGCACACTTGGCTGCCGGCGCCTGAGCAGCTCTTCCGGGCAGCTCTTCCCTCAACACTTTGCAGTTGTTGAACTACATGACTCCTGCTGTGTCGACCCACCCAATAGATTCTCTCTTGTACTGTACATACATTCTACTGCTTCCCTGTTCTTTCCGGGATCCTGAACATTTTCTATCATTTGTGGATCCTATATGGTTTATAAACACATAAAACAGCATATATGAAAGCAAAAGAGAGATCAGGGGAAAGACAGAGACAAGCCATAGACAAGAACAGGGGGATTAATGGGGGGGGGAGATGTAGGAGTGTGATCAAAACACAACAGACTTCATTAAAATCCTCTGAACAAGGAATATATACCAATACAAATTTAGTAAAATATGGTTATATTTAAACTTTCTTTTCTTCCAAGAACATAAGACTAGAATGCAGTTAATATCTATTAGGGCCAGAGTGTAAGATTTAATTCTACGCCGTTTCAAAAGATAAAAATACATGTTATATTTTGTAAAATCTTGTCTTATTTAAGTAAACATAAATAAAAGCAATTTTTCCTCTTTTGTTTAAACATAGCCATAATTAAATGATAAGTAGGAGGGTAAGTGTGAATCCTGGTTTCTCTCATGGTACCCAAGCCTATCACTTTGTTGATGCATCTATCAGTATAAAACCTACAGACTACCCTTTTACAGTTCCCTGAAACTTCAGTTCTTTCTAGGAGGTTGAGAGTGGGGATTTGAATACCCCAGAAGCAGAATCAGTGCCTTTGAGACTATAAGAAATAGAAATTTCAACCTCCTCCACTTACTCAGAATCTTTTTATTGAAAGGCTGCAACAGCTGGCCTCCAAACTGCCTCTCAGTTGTTCTTGCCTGTCAGTCATGCCTCTGCCTCCCTCTCACAGCAAGGATACTGACTTCTGTAGCAGAAAGAACACAGCCAGTCTCGTAGCCTAGTAGAGATAGGTGATTACAAGCTCTGGGAAATCATTCAGCCAATCTGTCTCCATAGTACTGACTTGCACAAGTTCTGTAAGGTCACACATACTGATTATTCTTTTCAGTTGCTGAGCTTTGCTTTGCAGAAATGTATTACGAATATAGGTAAGTGATGTGGGACATGCTAAACTTTGAGAGCCTGTGAGTGAAAACTTGTTCATTCACCAAATACTGTCATTCTGCAGTATTCGGGTGGGGAACTGTGAAAACACCCAAATCTGAAGGTGTTCAAGCCACTTGTGAGATGTTATATAACACCCGTGTTCCTTTGTAAATGTTTCAGTGTACTTTATGTATCTCTAGATGGCTTATAGCACCCAAAACAATGTCCATGTTATAAAAATAGCTGTTATTGTTTGGGGAATAATGACATGAGAAAAGGACTGTACATAGTCAGAATAAAATTTAATTTTAAAAATTATTTCAGTTAGTAGTTATTTGAATCTGTGGATGTAGAACCGAGGTGTATGGAAGATACCCCTATTTTATAATATAATATGTATCAGCCATGGATAAGAACATGATCATACACAAAAGAGATACTCCACAGTCCTTGTTCCTTCCCTTCATTTTCTTCTCAGGTTGTGGTTACGTCATCTCTGCACACTGACCTAAGCGATATTGCTCCCTGTCTCACTGTACTGAAAGCATAAGGAAGATAGTCGGCTTGGTTTCTCACCACTATAGATCTCAGACTTGTGCTCTGAGCACAGAAGTGCTCAGGATCGGATGCTACTGCCTGTGAACATGGCTTTCTCTTATGTGATGGATTCAGAGCCCAGAACAAGCCTGTCAAAGGGACCAGTACTGTATTTTGGAGTTCAAGGGAAACTCCTTGGGAAGCTAACCCCTACTGGATTCATTTATGCACAAAGAAATAAATGTTTCCTGGTGAAAATAGTGAACTTTGGAGGTCCCTCCACTTCATATGTACAAAAACCTGAGCACACTATTTCACCCAGCAGAGTACTGGACAAAAGTATAGTGCAAGGTAAGGAAGGCCCTGCTTTGGGCTAGCTTTGGATGAGGACTTCATTGGTAACCAGTTCCCAGGCACAGTGAAGAGTGCATACTGAAACAGTCTAACCCACTTTGCCCCTTTGAAATGAGTTATCTTTGGGAGCTAAAGTTAGGGCTTAGAACACTTAAAGGTAACAGATGCTGATTAACCAAGTTGACACTTCAGAGCAGGAAAAGGGCATTTTAAGCAACAAATGAAACATACTCCATTGATTTCACAGAAAGTTCTCATGGGAGAGAGACTGAGATGTCGTTGACATCATTGTATAGCAATTTGAGAACACTGAATAAATGTGTTTAGATGTGTTTAGAACACTGAATAAATGTAAATAGATGTGGTTGACATCATTGTATAGCTAATTGAGAACACTGAATAAATGAACAGATCAACTCCCATCTCACACAGATCAAAGAGGAAGTACAAAGACTACAACAGCATGGGGATGCCCACAGAGGTTACCTATGTTGCTGCCACTGCCCATAGTGGTCAGAGTTTCAAATCCTTCACTATGTTGAGGCTCAGAGGCAGCAAGTGAGTCTAATCAAGCAGATGTCCTCTGTTGCAGCTTGATCTGCACCCACAGAGCACAGCTCCTGCAGGGAACCTAATGTTTTCTTATTAATTTGCTGTATTTCTATTTTCTCTCATTGGCAAAACTTAGCAGTGCTCCATGACAATAAAAACACTCCTTATTAGTGTTGTCTTAAATGGCAGACACCAGGAAGATTCCACAACTGAGGATGTGAAATAGTAAGACTCAGAAACAGATGTTATTTGCTATTTAATTATGATTGATTGAAGTTTAAATCATCATGTGGCTAATAGATGATCCACTGGATGAGACAGTGCTAGGAAATAACAGTTGCAGGCAGGCCAGCTACTTTACCCTTAAAAGACTGTCTCACTTGGGCATATTGAGGACCAAGGAATTAAGCAACTTTTGGTTAAAGTTGCTACTTGCAACTTTTTTGCAAGTAGCAGAGAAGAAACACAAAGGCATTTCCAGCCTACTTTGTTGCAATGACAATGGATTGTAGTTCATTTCTTGCACAAAAATGATACAAAGATAACACTGAGTCGGAGAATTCCACATCTACAATGAACAACCCTGAAAAGAGCTGCCTCATGTACCTGAGCTCCTCTTCAACATTCTGGGAATTACCTTCATTGGCTATGACCATCTGTCTGAACCTTTACATGTGTGACCCCCTCTAATTTTGCTTTAAACTTCTTGCCTTGTTCAAATTGGTGATGGTATAAAAACAGACTATTAAGTTTGGGCCATGTCCCCTTATGTTGTCTAATCATTATTATAAACATTTACTCTTTGCTGAGAACTGGATTACATTGGTCTTTAGGAAACTATAAAAGATAAAGAATTGGGGATTTCAAATGAAACTTTTAAAGGTATGGCTTTAAAAGTAGTCACACTAAGGTTTTTCTTTGGATATTATGCAAAATATTTCATAACATTTTGATGTTGTAAACCCACTCCAAAAGTTGCAAGCCTCACTTGAGGATATCGTATCCTTAATTTAAAGGAAGCCAGAGTTGTCGCTACATATCTCCCCTCTAATGATAGAGACCCTTAGTGCAGCAAAGAATACTGTAAATGTACTGAACTTAGGGTAGCAACAAACTCAGTATCTTTGGTTCAGTTGCAGCCTTTCATATTCCTCCGGGGGAATTCACGATCTGCCTTCCTATATCATATTGAGGTAATATCAAAGAAATGGGTAAAAAGCTTCAACATATATTAAGAAAGGGGGGAAACATAAATTTTGAGTTTGAAACGGCAGAAAAACAACACAAGCCACTTATGAATGATTATTAACTGTGAAAACCCACTGCTGGGCTGCTGCAAGTGAACTCTCACAGAGACGGTGCAATGGAATGCTGCGGCTGGCCTCACCATTGCCCGTGCACAGCAAACATGCAGCATCACCTATCCCTTCAGTCTGGCGCCCTGCTAGCAATGAATGGATTTGTTAGTGAGTAAAATCCACAAATTCTTTAATGTGCCTCACGTCAAGGATTGAACAGCACATGTCCAGGTCCTCATGTCTAGACCTGAAGCTTCCTGTCTTTTGAGACACTTTCACTAGCCATCTTGGGCTGCTACTTGAGGAATCTATCACGGGGCCACTGTGAAAGGCAGAGCATATGTGGGTACATGGTTTTCAATCCCATCTAAATCTGCCCTTGGCCATCTTAGCCAAAGGACGGGATATGAAAGTGCAGATATGCCTTCAGTGCCTTGCGGGGCAGAATAATTGCCAGTTCTGACCGACAAGTCACATATATAAATAAGAGAATTCTGTGTAACAGTTGGAAATTTCAAGTGCTTTGTGACAGGGTTATGCATAACTGGCACTGTCCTTTTATTGGTTAATATCTGAAACGTGGTTCTTCCTGTGTAGAATGAGAGCTCACTCTGTCTTCCCATCCCACCACTCCAACTATTAGATACACCTACCAATGAAACCAGAAGACGGTGGGTTGGGCTGTATCTTTTCCTTCGTGTTCTCCTGGATTATATCCCAAAGCTGCCATATGAATTTGGGGTGAAGAATGTAAAATGGTTGAGTTGGGTATCTCCGGCGATGCTGGATGTATGGAGTGAAAAGGTTGTAATCTGGCTTCTTATACCACTAAAACAGAACAAAAACAATTCAGATTGAGTATAGAAGACCATGCTGTGGAAAGGAGACAGTGCTGCATGTGTCTGGGGAACCGAGAGGACTGGGCCAGCCTAGAATCTGGCCACCTGGGGAAGTACAAAGAGAGAGCATAGTTCTGGCCCTAGGAGGAATGCTGCTTTCTTTTAATTATTTCATTTAATTTTGATACTAGAATTATGTAATTTTCCCCTTTCCTTTCCTCTCTCCAATCTCTCCCAGTGACGTTTTATTCATGGTAAAATAAGACCTGGGCTTAGGTAAGAGGTGGTGGGCATTTTCTGCAAAAGGTCAGAGAGTAAACCTGAGAGTTCTGGGACAGAGGTCTGCTGTGAGTCCGACATGGCAGCATGAATGGTGACAGCAGAGAATGCCAATGGACACACTGTGTTCTCCTACAACTTTATGAAGAGAACTGTGGCCAGATTTGGCTCACATTGTAGTATGTAGGTCTCTTGGTACTCAAATAGCATTTTGAAAATAGATTTTTCAAATTTTACAACAGAGGCAGAAAGTAAGTACACTCATGTACTTACTCATGGAATCCATGAGGGGGGATACATAACTCACAGGGTAGATTGACATGGGGTTGTGAAAACTTCTCTTTCTTCATTTAATGTTGGATAAATGAAAGGTATGAATTTATTAATACATACCAGAATGTGGAGATACATGTATTGTATACAATATATACATGTATTGTATAATATATATTATATATGTAATAAAAAAGCTCATAACATTGGTTTGAAACAAGAGTCCACGATGATGTGAGATTTGGGGAGGATATAGAAAGAAACTTAGCTTGCTGGGCTCTGTGTCTTCAAATAGACAGCATGGGAATACACATGTACATATTAAGATACCAAGAACCATTGGCTGATGAAAGCAATCTGTTGCTTTGAAAACACAGAGAATGTCTGGATTGATTTCTTCTTAATCAGCTAAGTCTCAGAGCTAGGTGGCAAAGAAGCAAGAAAAATGGAATCTAAGAAATAATCAAATACCTTTTAGCCTGTTCCCTACCACCATTTGTGTCCCAGGCCCTACCATAAGGGCCAGGATGCTTGGACTTTAACCCTACGTATATCTATAAGGTGGGTAAACTCTAACCTAGGCTTGGATGTGCCCAACAGATGATAAAACAAGGTCAACAGCCTCAATGCTCAGTCAATTAAAAACCTTCAAGGAAGATGGCAGAACTGAAATCTAGATGCTTCCAGTTGAGAAGAAAGCTAGAAGTATCCAGCCTTCATTGATGTTTGATATTTAGTCTAGGGGTCATAAAAGAATTGGGTTTGCCCTTCTGGAAATGGAGATTTGACAGGCAGACTTAAAAAAAAATAACAGCCAAGTGATTCTGATTTGTACCAATGGTAAAAAAAAACAATACTACCTACACCATCATCATCAACAAAAACAAACCAAGCAAATGTCCAGCCTGAAGATTGACAGCAATACATATGCTCCTCTTGGGGGACAAGTCTATCTTGAAGAGTTCTAAAAATGGTTGACCCCCTAGAGGAACAAAGATCGGTTACTCACATTCATCTTAAGAAGCTTGTATGCTCCCTGGTTTTGGTAAACAAAGTCAAGAACACTCACTTGTTCAGACAACAGCATCTCACACTAGGGTGAACATAATCCATTTTCCCAAGCTCCATAAAAATTAGCTCACTGTTTTTTCATACGAAGTTCCATCCAACGTGGCTAGTTTCTTGCTTATGACGGTAACAATTTTCCATGAGGAAATGCAAAAATGCAAATTGCTTGTATATGATGATTATTCCATAAAATTTAACACATTGAGAATTAGCCAATTAGAATCACCCTTAAGAAAATCAGAGACACTTTATTTCAACCACAATGAACACTTTATATATTTTTTGCCAACTACAACCTAGTTTATTTCTAGAGCCCTTATGTCATCCTATCACATTGGAACAGCTGCCAGTTTGATCAGTCTAATTTTTTTTTTGTGTGTGTAACTGCAGCTTCCTGAGCCTTTATATATTTAGTGCTTTCTTCCTTCCTCAGAGACAAAGCACCTTAGCAGAAGGTGGCTATATTACTCTAAGTAATATCAAGAAGGTGCATGATTCACATGTGAGTTAGTGCCTGTCACTGATCTGCTCTTGTGGGTAATTAAAGGGAACCAACAAAACACTTACCAGGTTAAGATTAGCAGAATACGGAGCTGGGTCCCAGGCCACCAGGATAACATCTTTATATAAAGAACTGTCAAGGAAGTGATGACTGGGGTTGGCCAGAATCTGTAAGCACATGGGGAAAAAAATGGGAAGTTCTTTATGACTAGTATTTGCTTCTTCAAAGTATGTGTTTAAACAAATTACAATTAAAAATGAACAATGAGAGCAAGGCTTGGGTTTTACATTTTCCTTTGCGAGAGTGAGAAAGGCTGGTATCACATGACAAAGCACTTACAGTATATCTAAAGAAATTTGTTTTTTAAATAAAACACAAGCAAACCCACAAAGTCTTCCATTTTAATCAGGACTGCACCGAATTTAGTCTTCTGGATACCATCCCTTGCAAGATGATACTCCCCAAGTAATTCAGACTCCTGGCCTCCTCATTACTTTTGATAAGTGACATGAGAGAGCTACAGGTAAGGGACAGCTAGAATTGAGTTAGGAGGTGTCAAATACAGTCCTTTTGCCCAGGTCCTATCTGATTTTGGGTGGATCCATCAATTTCACCTGCCATCTATCTTAAAAACAAACAAACAAACAAACAAACAATCAAACAAACAACAAACAAACAAACAAACAAACAAAAAACTATCTGCTGAGGAGTTAGTATGACGTGGAAAGGATAGGAGCTCCACAAAGACCAACTATATCTGGGCACAGGGGTCTTTTCTGAGACTGACACTCCACCAAGGACCATGTATGGATATAACTTAGAACCTTTGCTCGGATGAAGCCCGTGGTAGCTCAGTAACCAATTGGTTTCCCAAAGTAAGGGGAACAGGGACTATTTCTGACAGGAACTCAGTGGTAGGCTCTTTGACCTCCCCATTCCCCAAGGGAGGAGCAGTCCTGCTAGACCACAGAGGAGGACTTTGCAGCCAGTTCTGAAGATAGCTGATAAAACAGGGTCAGATGAAAGGGGAGGAGGTCCTCCTCAATCAGTTGACTTGGAAAGGGGCAGGGAGGAGATGAGGAAGGGAGGAAGGGTTTGGGAGGGAATGAGGGAGCGGGATACAGCTGGGATACAGAGTTAATAAAATGTAACTAATAATAAAAAATAAAAGTATAAAAAAACTATCAAGCACAGGCATTAAGACCAACTATTGACAAATGGGACCTCATGAAGCTGTAAAGCTTCTGTGCAGCAAATGACACCATTGCTTGGCGAAGCAGCAGCCAAAAGAATGGAAAAAATCTTTACCAGTTATACATCTGACAGACATGTCTAGAACATACAAAGAACTCAACAAACTCAACACCATGAAAACAAACAATCCAATTAAAAGTGGGGGCATAATCTTCTTGTGTGGCTCCTGTCCCCTCCATGTCCTTCTATCCTCTCCCCTTCTTCCATAAGACTCCCTTATGGAAGTCCCTGCTCTCCTCCCTGCTCTCTGCCCAAAGTTTGGCTGTGAGTCTCAGCATCTGCTTCGATTCTCTGTTGGGTGGAGACTTTCAGAGGACCCTCACTAGAAGGCTCCCATCCTGTTTCCTCTCTTCCACCATTTCTGGTGTCTATCCTGTTTACCATTCTGAATGAGATTTAAGCAACCTCCTTTGGGTCCTCCTTGTTGTTCAGCTTCTTTAGGTCTGTAGATTTTAGAATGGCAGGAGCTCCACAAGGAGACCAGAGCTAAAGATTCTGAGGTGAGGGGGTCCTACAGAGACTGATGAACCAACCAAGGGCTTAGACCCCCTGCTCAGATGTAGCCAATTGGCAGCCCAGTCTCCACATGGGTACCATAGTAAGGGGTGCAGGAGCTACCTTTGTCATGAATTCCCTTGCCTGCTCTTTGATTGCTTGTCCTCAGTGATGCAGCCTTGCCAGGCCACAGAGGAAGAGGATCCAGGCAGTCCTTATGAGACTTAACAAGGTATGGGCAGATGGCAATAGTGGAAAACTCCCCCTTTCAGTGGACTAGGGGAAGAGGATAGGGAGAAAGAGGAAGGGAGGGTAGGACTGAGAGGGGCTGAGGGAAGGGGCTTCAATCGTGCTATATAATGAATAAAAAAGTAATAAAATTTAAAAATTAAAAAAGAAAAAATATGATAAAAGTTAAAAAAAGAAAAAGAAAGAGAACCCCCTCCCAGGCATGAAACTGAACAGAGTTCCCAAAAGAAGAAATACAGATGGCTGAGAGCATTTTAAAAAATGTTGAACATCCTTAGCTATAAGAGAAATGCAAGTTAAAATTATTTTGAGATTTCATCTCATCCTAGTCAGAATGGCTAAAATAGAATTTTGCAAAGACAACAAATGTGGGCATGGGTGTGGGTGGATGGGAGTCTCACAGGTGTTGATGGGATTACAAACAGGTACAGCCACTATGAAAATCACTGTGGAGGTTCCACAAGAGGCTAGATACAGATCTATATAAAACACTTTGTCTACGTACTACGACGGAGACACATGGCCATCCATGTTCACTGCTGCTTTACTCACAAAATCCAGAAAGAGGCAACAACCTAGATGCCCCGCAAATGATAAATGAATAATGTAAATGCGTACAGACATTATGGTTTATTTTTCAGCGGTTAAAATAAATGAAAATTTTAAGTAAATGGCTACAGCCAGGAATAATCATTCTAGAAAGAGGTAACTGAGACCTAGAAAGACAAACACTGAAGGTTCTCTCTTTAAATGTGGATGTCTAAATTGGAATGCCTAAAGAAGACAGGAACCCAGTAAGGAACCATGGGAAATAGGGAAGAGAACATAGGTGACATGAAATGGATTTAAGTTGGGCGGAGGAGAGGAAGGCAGGGGTACAAAATGAAGTGTGTGTGTAACTAGATGAAACCATAAAAAAGAGTTGGAGGGATGGGAATTAGAGGGTGGATATGACCTAAATACATTTCATGCATTTATAAAATTCTCAATTAAAATTTTTTACCATTATAAAGATACATTGATTTTTTTTCATCACATGTTTCTGAAATAAAGATGAACCTTAAAGGACACATGTGTTGTAATTTGATGGGGTTTATCACTTTCTGAGAAATTACTAAATGAAATATAGATCTTCCCAGCAGTGACATCTCTGAGTTAAGAAAATATGGTAATTGTTTTTACTTTGCTGCAGCTGCCTGGGGCAGTGAATAGGGCAGAGTGAGTGCTAATAGCTTGGTCTGCAAGCCGTTCACCATAAATCATGTCTAATCTCATTTTTCTATATAGTTTGGAAGTTATAAATTGTGGTTTGTTCTGAGAATAATTTTTCATAAATATGAAAATCATTCTTATTAAGAACATGGAAAAAAGGTATTTCCATTCCTCAGTAAGCAACTTATTATCATTTTTCAAATTTCTAAATCACGAACTAAAGTTTCAAAGGTATCCCTACACTCTCTCATATTTCATGTGTTTCTTTCCTCTTTAGCAGTGCATTCCTTATTGCCATGATTTCTTCTGTAATAAATAGCATTTTGCAGTTCATAAACTGGAGCATGATAATTTGTGACAGCAGCTCTCAACCTGTGTCTAGCAATCTCTTCAGCAAACCTCTGTCTCTAAAAAAAATTTGCATTATGATTCCTAATAGTAGGAAAATTACATTTATGAAGTAGCAATGAAAATGAAGTTATGGTTGGGGGTCACCCCAACACTAGGGGCTGTATTAAAGGATCATACCGCATTAGGAAAGTTGAAAACCACTGATCTATGACAATGAAAACATACACACAAATAAAAATCATTTCTTTATGCTTAATCTGAGTTCCCTTTTGACCTTATCTTTTCCTATTCAAATCACTTTTAAGTTCCCCTTTTTACATTTTTCTTCATTGATTATTCAAAATTAACAGGATCCATAGAAATAACAGGGTGTTGTGGTGATTGTACCATATTTCTGTTCGCTCATCCAGTTAAATGATTTGCCTACTAACTGTAGCAGTGAATACACTCCATCCATCTTACCTGAGAGTTGATGATGCGTACTGTGGTTTTATTTCCAACATCTTTCTCATAGCCACGTGTAGGGGCAGAGTTAAATCTCAAAACTGCATCATGAGAATCTAAGGGCACATAAGTGACATTTTTTTTTCTCTGTGAAATCATATACTCTAGCAAGAAGACGCATTAAAACAAACCTTGCAATATCTTAAAGTTAGAAATGACTGTTAAAGCTAATATAATATCCTCAGATTTTTAGATAATTTGATTTTGATTTAAGCTGACAGATCGGCTAGAGAGACTAACATGGAAACTTGAGTCACATAGCACTGGGACACACCAGTCAATACCAGCTCACAGATATATGTAGCTCCAAGTTATACTGCCTAGTAGCTGTGAAATCTTTTTATAAGTTCACTCTGTAATGTTCACTGCTGGCAAAGTCACCTAATGATACATTTCTTGGGATGTACCCCTTGTTTCTTGATAAACTATGTCTGTATACTTAACCACACACATACACAAAACCAACTGATCATATGTCATCCTGTTTTGCCTAAGTTACATCTAGATGCTTGTTATTTTATTATGCTGTGTAGGAGTGTCATGCTTTCAGCAATCACTCCCCTTAAAGTTTCAAAATATTTAGAAGCTGTATCTACAGTGCCAGGTAAAGATGTTGGGAGCTCAGAAGCAGCTCGTGTGGTAATCTCCTAGCCTGGAGAGCTGGTAAGAACTGCATCTTGTCTTGCTGCTAACTCCCACAGACTGAAAACCTCAGCCTTTGATTCTGCCTTATCACCTTTAAGTGAAGGTTTAGATTTAAAGGAAAAGGGCTTGGTTTCCATGAACCCTCATTTCCCATTGTAGATGGCAGGGAGTCCCTGCATTTGAAGAAACTACCTGAGTCACTAGTGACTAAAGTTTTTGTACAAACAGTAAGGGAATTTCTAAGGTTATCTTTAGCTTTAAGAATCCCATGCACATTACAAGCTTAATTTGCAGCAAGTATAGTGACTGGCTGTAGGAGTTAGAGGCAAACTCATAGATTTCTGACATGACTGGTAGTCACAAGGACACATGGATGCTATATTTACTGTGACCATGTTCTACAGAAGACCTTGTGACAGCCTCCTTTCTAAAAACAGGGATCTGTTGTTCCTTTCTGAGTCTTCACCCTACTCACTAAAGAGGAAAAGATACTGTGCATGCTCCATTAAAGTGATCTTTTTAAAAGGTACCTTAATTGACAAGTTACAAGCCCAATGAATGTGTAAGAGGTAGTTGGCCATACCACCAAAACCCAAAACCTCCTCCTCCCCCAAACCAAATGAAACAAAAAACCCCAAAACAAACAAACAAACAAAACAGAACAAAACAAAAAAAACCCTAAACCAAACCTGTTCTTTTCAGGTACAGTTTGGAAGAGTTGACAAGTTATGAACAGTAGGCTAAAGGTGGCTTGCCTCACTTTTAATGAATAAAGCTGTATAACAGACATAATTATTTGTATATGGTCTATTCTGGCACAACTGACTTTGAAACAGATCTCATGGCACAGGAAGCCTAAAATATTTTCTATATGGCCCTTGGGGAAAAAAAAGAGAATTGAATCAAAGACTCAGAAAAAAACCCCCACACCTGAATTTTGATGAAGAAGCCAAGACCATACAATGGAAAAAAAGAAAGTCTCTTCAACAAATAGTGCTGGTCTAATTGGATATCTATAGATCAAAAAATGATAATATATCCATACTTATCACCCTGCACAAATGTAAAGCCCAAGTAGATCAAAGATCTCAACATAAAACCAGACACACTAAATCTGTTAGAAGAAAAAGCCGAGAAGAACATATTGGCACAGAAGACAAATTCCTGCACAGAACACCAACAGCACAGGCTCTAAGATCAACAATCAATAAATGGGACCTCATGAAACTGAAAAGCTTCTGTAAAGCAAAGGACACTGTCAACAGAACAAAAAGACAGCCTACAGATTGGGAAAGGATCTTCACCAACCGTATATCTGACAGAGGGCTAATATCCAGAATATATAAAGAACTCAAAAAGTTAAACACCAACAAATTAAGTAATCCAATTAAAAAATGGGGCACACATTTTGTTTTGATGATGTTGTCCTTTGCTTTACAGAAGCTTTTCAGTTTCATGAGGTCCCATTTATTGATTGTTGCTCTTAGAGCCTGTGCTGTTGGTGTTCTGTTCAGGAAGTTGTCTCCTGTACCAATGAGTTCTAGGGTCTTCCTCACTTTTTCTTCTAACAGATTTAATGTGTCGGGTTTTATATTGAGGTCTTTGATCCACTTGGACTTTAGTTTTGTGCAGGGTGATAAATATGGATCTTTTTTCATTTTTCTGCATGTAGACATCCAGTTAGACCAGCACCATTTGTAGAAGATGCTATCTTTTTTCCATTGTATGGTTTTGGCATCTTTGTCAAAGATCAGATGTCCATAAGTTTGTGGGTTTATTTCTGGGTCTTCTGTTCAGTTCCATTGATCCACTACTCATCAGAATGGCCAAGATGAAAAACTCAAGTGACAACACATGCTGGAGAGGTTGTGGAGAAAGGGGAACCCTCCTCCACTGCTGGTGGGAATGTAAACTTGTACAACCACTCTGGAAATCAATCTGGCATTTTCTCAGACAACCAGGAATAACGCTTCCTCAAGATCCAGCCATACCACTCCTAGGCATATATCCAAAAGAGGTTCAAGTACACAATAAGGACATTTGCTCAACCATGTTTATAGCAGCTTTATTTGTAATAGTCAGAAGCTGGAAACAGCCCAAATGCCCCTCAACTGAAGAATGGATGCAGAAATTGTGGCACATCTACACAATGGAATATGTGAAAAATAAAATCATGAAATGAAAAATCAGCAATGAAAAATAAGGAAATCATGAAATTTGCAGGTAAATGATGGGACCTGGAAAGGATCATCCTGAGTGAGCTGTCCCAGAGGCAGAAAGACACACATGACATATACTCACTCATTTAGACATGTAATATATGATGAACCTACTGAAATCTGTACATCAAAGCAGACACTGAGACTTATGACCAACTGTTGGGCAGTGTGCATGGAATCTTATGTAAGAAGTGGGAAATAGTAAGATCTGGAGAGGACAAGAACTCCACAAGGAGAGCAACAGAACCAGAAATTTGAACACAGGGGTCTTCCCAGAGACTCATACTCCAACCAAGTACCAAGCATGGAGATAACCTAGAACCCCTGCACAGATGTAGCCCATGGCAGTTTAGTGTCCAAGTGGATTACATAGTAATGGGAAGAGGGACTGCCTCTGACATAATCTGATTGGCCTGCTCTTTGATCACCTCCCCCTGAGGGGGGAGCAGCCTTACCAGGCCACAGAAGATGACAATGCAGCCACACCTGATGAGATCTGATAGACTAAGATCAGAAGGAAGGAGAGGAGGACCTCCCATATCAGTGGACTTGGGGAGGGAGGATGGGATCGGGAGAGGAGGAGGGAGGGGTTTATGGGGGGATACAAAGTGAATAAAATATAATTAATAAAAAAATGGGGCCTAGAGCTAAACCAAGAATTCTCAACAGAGGATTATCGAATGACAGAGAAACACTTAATACAATGCTCAACATTGTTAGTCATCAGGAAAATAAAAATAAAAATGACTATGAGATTCCATCTCATACCCATCAGAATGACTAAGATAAAAAACTCAAATGACAACACATGCTGGAGAGGATGTGGAGTTTACATTCCCTCCATTGCTGGTAGGAATGTAAACCTGAACAACCACTTTGGAAATCAATCTGGCACTTTGTCAGACAATTAGGAATAGTGCTTCCCTCAAGATCCAGCTATACCACTCCTTCGCATATAACGAAAGATGCTCAACCATACAACAAGGACATTTGTTCAACCATGTTAGTAGCAGCTTTATTCATAATATTCAGAATCTGGAAACAACTTAGATGTCACTCCACCAAAGAATGGCTACAGAAATTGTGGTACTTTACACAGCTATCAAAAAAAGGAAATCATGAAGTTTGCCGGCAAATGGTGGGAACTATAAAAGATCATCCTGAGTGAGGTATCCCAGAACCAGAAAGACACACATGGTATATAATCACTTATAAGAGGATATTAGCCATATTATATAGGAAAAACATACTAAAATCTATAATCCTAAAGAAACTAAACAACAAGGAGGATCTTAGGGAAGATGCTTAATTCTCATTCAGAAGGGAACACAGGATAGACACTGGAAGCGGTAGAAGAAAGAGGACTGGAGCCTACCACAGATGTCCTCTAAAAGACTCCAATCATCAAGGCATCAAAGTAGATGCAGAGAATAAGCCAAACTTTAGACAGAGCTCAGGGAGTCTTACGGAAGAGGAGCCTGGACCAGTGGACTAGGAAAGAGGGATAAGAAGGGCAAGGGAGGAAGAGAAGGATCCGGTGGAGATGAGGGAGGAGGCTACAATTGGGATACAAAGTGAATAAATTATAAATAATAATAATAATAAATATAATGTTGGCAAATTTTTGGATTTCAAGGAATCTAAGCTCTGTGGCGTTAATGCAACACCCCTGAGGACTTTCAGGCAACTTTCCCACATGGGCTCGGCATTGCTTTGCATTTTCGCAGTGAACTTCTCTATTTATATTTTTAATAAAATAGCGACTAATAAAATCTAAAATTTTTAGCTATAAGAACTGTATTGTACAGAGCATTAAGTTCATATATTAATCTGGTTCCCAGGAGTTGTTACACACACACACACACACACACACACACACACACACACACACACACACACACACACACGCATACACACACACACACACACGCATACACACACACACACACACACACACAGAGAGAGAGAGAGAGAGAGAGAGAGGTAAAGAGAGAGGAGGGAAATTTTTGAGAAATAGAGGAGAGAGAGATTTTCAAGAGAGGACTTTGTAAGTTGTTCCAGAAAACTGTGAATATTCTTTGATAGTTTACTTATGCTTGGGAAATGCTAGTTTGTTAAGACCTGGGTGTGCTGTGGCATCTCAAAAGCATATCAATGAGGGTATTTTTTGTTTTGTTTTTCACTTTTTTTTT